TTACGGGAACTATTATTGTATGGCATGCCACTATGTCTCAAAGTGTACAAGAGTGTTTTGTAACGTGATCCGGGTCAAATAACACTTAAAAGTATTCGTAGCATTTATTTAAAACCCACTGGACACAGGACGACACCGCAAGGATCACAAAGTTTAGAGAAAAGCACCTGAACTAATTCTCACGATAATATTTCTAAAAACTAAAACTAAAGTAGAAGTGGCCTCATGCAGAGTAAACGGAGCAATGTCAGTACCCGCTCATTTCAAATAACCCTGTCTGAATGTTACACACCGGCAACAGCTGCAGTGTGATGGTCACAGGATCTGTTTACCCCCCCCCCTCCCTCCCTCCCACACACAAACATACACACGCACACACTGTAACTCCACTGGCCTGGTATGTTTGTTGGTCTAAAGGGGTACAGAGGAGATTTAAGCAATTGCCCCCACTTTGATGGAGTACCACCACCACCTTAATGTCACATAACGAATGCACTGGGTCACATTTGGGCCGACGGCACTGGTGCTGACATTCTATGTAATTCTATGCAAATGTATAACAAACTAATCTTACATTTGGGCTCAATCGTTGGACATTTGATTATTGTAATATTCTTTTTAACTTAATGATTATTCTAGTCAGCTGAATGTACATTATAAACAAAGTACACACAAACTATGTGAATAGAGTCTGCAGAATCCAGAAGTTTTTTTGAATTACTGTCATTGTACATATTGCGCGGCACGGTGTCGTTGTGGTTAGCACTGTCGCCTCACAGCAAGAAGGTCCTGGGTTCGACTCTCAACCCAGTGGCCTTTCTGTGTGGAGTCTGCATGTTGTCCCTGTGTCTCTGTGGGTTCTCTCTGGGTACTCTGGCTTCCTCCCACATGCTCTGGGGATCAGGTTGATTGGTGACTCTACGTTGCCCGTAGATGTGTGAGTGGTTGTTTGTCTCTGTGTTAGTCACCCAGTCCAGGGTGTACCCTGTGTTTACCCTGTGTACCCTGTCACTCCCCTGAAGTTGGCTGGGATAGACTCCAGCCCCCCTGTGTGCAGGATAAGCGGTTTGCAGATGGATGGATAGATGGATGGATGTACAGGAAATGTCTGCAATACGTTGTCTTGTATTGCAGCATGCTTTGATATGTTGTTGTCTAGCCGTCATAGTATGGTAGGTGCCAAACAGCTCTTCAGTCCACTCATTACTCTGCTAGTAATTGAACTCTCTAATTCTGTCTGTGCAGGATCACAGGTGTGATGCTGCAAATAAAGTTATAGTCGTCAAACTCATTGTTCCATTTTGTTGTTGTGGACACTCTGGTACACATATAGTATTTTGAGATTACATGGTGCAGGAAGATGTGTGGGGGGGCACAAGCAGCAGCTATAATTTAAGTGATGAGGCTGAGAGTAGCGGCTGTCAAAACGGAAATGATGGATGATGATAGCAGTTTCCTGGCGACAGACTTTGGGTGGAGGTGGTTGCCGTTGTGGGTGTGTTTGATTTTAGACCAGGAAGTAGGGTGAAGTAGGGTGAAGAATCCATCGAGCGGTTCAGGAGGGACGCCCCGAGAGGAAACGATGCTTGACGGACACAACGGTGAACTTCCCTCAGAGTATACAGAGACAAGACGGGGCGACTTTTCAGGAAGGGAGACCCAACAACAACAAACAGCTCCAACGCAAAAGCAGTTAATATCTGAGATTTCAATTCATTTAAATTAAATTTATTCCCAAGTTGAGAAAAGTAAATAGTTATGGCAAGTGATCCTAAAAGGACCCTGTGATGTCTCTTCCCATGTGCCCAATGTATCGGTCAAGAAGATCTGTGTTTCCTGTTTGTTTGGAGGCATTTCCTGTCCAGAGCCCAATGCCAGCGGGTGTGTCTGGGTTTGTCTGATGTCTCAACTAGCCAGGAGACGCGCTTTGATCCATCCCACTAATTTAGAACGTTTTACTGTTTGGTGGACACTTTTATCTAAAGCAAGTCCTTCTTTAAAGTTGGTGTGTGCATGCACCATAGGCCTTCTCACTGCTCTGCTGCTGAAGTGGGACAGCACACTTTGTCCCACTAATTATAATATTGTGCTTACATTCAGCTCATGAATGCCGTTTCACTTCAATTGCACGCATCAGACGTCCAGTTTTCAAGCTGGGTGTATTTTATACATACATCTAAATATATAAATATGCACATATATACACGTATATATCGTAGTTATTTGTGTATACACAAATATAATAAGACAATATTTCATATTACAGATGAACATAAAAACTGCACTTTCGGTAGTACTTGTGGTGCTAACACAAACTTTCCTTCTTATAAAAGTGTAAATAGTCAGTTGCAGGTTTTCCATTGATGTTCCATCATGCAAACACGTCCGTTAAAAGTGTGAAAACACGTAGCTGTTTTCACAGGCTGAGTAGCACTCCTCATGGTAAGTAAACTGACCTTCAGTGGATCTGACTAATGTTTAGCCAGTGGACTGTCTCTCCAGAAACATGTCCTTGTTAGCTTGAATTACACAGACCTCACTGTAAACAGTCTAATGCTGCAGTTACTATTAAAAAGTCCCTCATAATAACTGTTGACGGAGAGGAAATTCTTTTCACTTTCCTGGTGGAGGCAGAACCTTCCCAAATAACCCCACAGCTGCCTCTGGCATTGATAATAATTGGTTAAATGGCAAAAATAGTTTGGGTGAAGCGTTAACAATAATCTATCTTGGATAAAACCTTTTTGGTGTTTATGTTTCCTCTCTACTGGCCACACGTGCTTAGTATTTATACATGCTAGAGACGTGTTGACGGCATCATGATGATTGGAAGGTGCTTAATTTGTCAAATGTCATTAAAAGTCATTTCCTGCTTAAATGTTTTTCCAACCAAAAAATGAAAGACATCTCTTGAACATTAGTTTAACTAGTTCAGCTCTTCTTTGTCACATTCAGCCTATATTTTCTCCGTCACCTCTCTATCGCCCCATCGTCCCTCGTTTACCTCGTCACATCTGTCCAATCATCTGTGTGCACTAGCTGATTGTTGGATGCTGCTCTTTGAACATCACGGTCATGTTGCAGTCTTCTCTTGCATGGAATAAATATCGTCACACATTTAGAACGGATCCTTCCTTCTGGCTCTGTGCATGTGAATGCATTCTGCATGTTTGGCAAACTCTATGCAACCAGATAAATTAATTTGTATACAGTGCTAGGAAAGTGTGGAACAAACCATTTACAATGAATTCATTTAAGATAAGGTAAGATGATTTGTTTGTGTTTTCATCCCGTCTGGTCTCTGGAATAGAAACAGTTTCCCTCCTCCGGTCTTGTGACTGTCCTAAAATTAGACCTAATACAACCTCTGTTTTGTACTCAGGCTGCCACCAATTGAAAAAAAAAAAGCATTGTGGTATTTCCTCTGCGTGTCTTAGTTTGTGTATACTCTCATGTGGGTCCATGAGGAGAAAACCTAGTTTATATCTGGCCTCTGCTGATAATTCCGTCCCCAAATAAATCAGTCACATCCCCAGCTGTCAACTTTTAAAGGGTAGCTGGGTGGATGTTCCCTTTGGGTGGATAGATAGATAATATGGGAGCTTATTGGTGAAACAGGGCATGGTTGTGTGGATCTTAACACACACAAAGCTTTACATAATAATACATAATTACTTTCATTCTGGACAAAAAGGTTTGGAGAATCTGGGCGATCTTGTTTCAGTTGCTTATCACCAACATTGCTTTCTCTACTAAAGCCGTTGATCCATCCTGCACCTAAAGAAATACGTTCTATAAGGAGGACAAACACTTTCAATGAGAATGTTGGTTGGGCTTCTTGTACATTTTTCTTTATATGGCCACAAAACAAGGCCTCTTCCCACCTCTGCTGTTTACTGACTCCAGAATAAGCAGTAGCTGCAAATTTGGGCTATGCGGAAAAATGTTATACATCAGTAACTGCATTTGAATCTAAACTAAACAGTAAAAAAAACATTATCAATTTTGTACTTTGAAAGTTGTGGGAGAGTTTTTTTAACGGATATTTTGCTGTTACATTTCAATAAGACTTTTCTTGATACCGTATGTCTCTCTCACCTCACTAACAAGGCCGCCTGCATCATCAAATCTACTCACGACAACATAAGCACCAACAGCAAGAAGTGGGAGAATAAATCTGAATACCAGCTGTTTGGATCTTGTTAGCGGGTTGACAGCATCTTACCCACCACTGAATTAGGAAACTTATTATACCAATTGGACAGAATAAATGTGAGCGTGACGTACAGGAAGCAGCCTTGCTTTTGTGCTTTTCTGATTTAGCCTCCACGGTATTTCTTATGACTTTTATCACTTGTTTACTCATTAAGCTTTCATTTATTTCCCCTTGGGCTTTTTAAAGCATACGTTTAAAGGCCTCAACAATTTACTGGTGGTGAAATATTTGTGCAAGTTATAGGACTAGGTGTCAAAGATAGTTGTATTAAATCAACTTGTGTCCAAAGATGTTTCCGTATCCCACACCGTTAAAGTTTGATGAAACCTGCAGTTTCATTAAGACAGGACGGCTGTGCTGGAGGCTGATTCGGAATCTCACTTTTACATATTCTACTACATGTGGATGGGAGCAGTCATCAGCCATGTGGAGGCCTGCAGGTGTGTGTCTCATCTATAATAAGACTGGGCCGAGGGGCATTTCAAATGTTCACCTCCTCCTCGCCCATTCCTCCATTCCTCCGCTGGTTCAGGGAGTGCCTCTTCAACCACCTGCTGCCGTCCCTCCGGCACACAGAGCTGCAGTTTAAAGCTGCTGTCAGGTGCTCAAGTCCAACCGCTGAATAACATATTCACACTTTAACTGAAATCACCTCCAGAAACTTTCTGTTTAGGTTTCTTTTTTTTACTTATTACTGAAAACTACCACTACTATAACGATAACTAACAATGTTGTTTTCTGTGGATGAGTCGAGTTTACTGTAGGTCAGAGAAACCCAGCCGGGATGACTGGCTGCCACTCTCCGGCCATTTGTACGGTTGCACCTGCTGTTGCTGCGCTGATAGAATTCCAGTCACTCAGCAGAAAGACAATGGTTGGAAAGTCTGCATCTCAACACAGCTCGTTGAACATCTCTGTTTGACGCTAGTCAGACCAAATGTGTCGGAAGAACCAAAGGCTTTAGCTGTGGATGAAGTCTGTCCAGAAATTCAGACATTTTTGCAGATCGGACCAAAAGGCTCCGTCCCGTCGCGCTGTAACACCTGCTTAATGTTGTGGAAGTGACACGTGAAATGGTCGTGGGCAGCGAGTGTTCAGCACCTGGTTACATCTGTTGCCAAACCGTCCTGGTGTAAAGTTGATTGTGGGAAGCAGTCGTGGTTAACAGGTGGTTAACGCCGGGTTTGGGTCATGGCTCACATTAAATGATTGTGGCTAAAGTGGTGAAATGTTTAAGACGGATCTACCAAATCACCAACTTGGCGAGCACCGGGACACTCGATGAGCTCGGGGGGAGGCTCCTATCGCAACCGCCGAATCCCGCTCAGTTAGTGATCTACCAGGAGCCTCGTGTGCAAAAAACATGTTCTACTCCATGAACGGCCGTCTCCGCTCCTCAGTGAGCGATCCGCTGACGTCCGAGTAGGATGAATGTGTGTTATGTGCTCCCGTGAGCTGCTGGACACCAGATACCTCCAACCCCCCTTCCCCCTCCCCGCCGGGGCACGACATGAATGCTGACAATCTACACGTCCAAACACTCGGATGGGCTTTCTCCCTAATGCGCACTTAGCTGAGCTGAAGCAGTTGAGGGCCGGACGGTGAGCAATGGGAAACACAGGGAGAGACAGCTAAGAAAGGTTTGTGCTAACAGATCTGGAATGTACTGCTGTTTAAACTTGAGACCTCAACTATTTAATAATGACGACAAAAACACAAAAGCACGGTAAAGAAATGGATAAAACCTCAGGAAGAGCAACAGAATCCTTGAGCCAGACTGGAAGGAGAGGCAGTGGATATTGTGTGTACCAGGGGCACCACTGGTTTCTTATAGGTGGAGACTCGGGTAGCCAGTGCTCCCAAGGCTGTGAAAGAATCTAAAGCCGGCTGTCCCAGATGCTGCAGCCTCACAGCCCATGTCAGGATAGCAGAGGTCTAAGCAGGTCACGGACACACCTTCTTAGGAATGCTAGAGGCCTGATTTACTGTCAGGTGATACTGTCCTGTTCAGATGGCATGTCAGCGACAAACGCCGTGGTCCTGCGTTTAACAGTAGAGCGTATCAAATGTCCCATGAAAGAAAAGGTATTGAATGTGTGAAAAGGGGCATTTTAAATTGACCCCATCAAGAAATGATGCAGTAGAAGTGAAACACATCCAGAACGTTTTGTATATTTTATTTTATTTGTTTTAGAAGTATAACAATGATTCAACACAACAACCGTCTGAGACATTGCTTCAAAGGTGGAATCATAGGCCTTTAGCCCTTAATAAAGCACAGTAACCTGAATTCCTTCATTGTCTGTTTCAGACTCTGACAGAGACCAAGAGGACAGCCATGTTTTCAGCCAGACCAGAGACCAAGCCGTAAGTGCACACAGACGTCTTTCTGCATATGAAAGTACACAAACCAACCAGGCTACTGTCGTTCTTCCCGCGACGACAATAAAGTCCACATCCCTGAGAACGAGGCGGTACATGTTTTATTTCTTTGTTTTAAAAGCGCCATCTGTCCTCCACACAGCGGAAACACACTGCGCTTCATCTCTGATGTGTAGACAAGCCTTTGAACCCGGAGGAGCGCTTCATTTACGAGATCTCACAAGAGCTACTGTGTTTGCTAATATTATAATCCAGTATTACACCTTATGCAGAGAGTTGTGCATTCTTTTTTTATTTTGCGTGTGTGTGTTTGCACAGTGATTGTGTTTCTATTGATATTCACCTGATGTTGAGAAAGGTTTATAAATGCAGCCTGATCTCCAAAACCTGTTCGTAAAGATGTATACAAAAATCTTTAACATACAAATTCGTAGTGATACATACTAAATAAATACGGCCTGCAACTGATGACGTCACCTTATTCAAAGTGAATGGGGACCTGCACCCCGTAAACACACTTTGTGGAGTCTAACGATGTAAAATAAACGTGTTATGATTGTATTTTTAACGATAAATCAATGTTAACTTGTAAGAATAGAATACTAACCCTACCCCCCTCAAAAAATCCAACATGGCGGAGAGACGTTCACTCAAGAATCCAACATGGTCCGCCATGTTGTTCACTCAAGGGGCGTGGTTAACCACCGCCAGTTCGTATGTATTGTTACGAATTTGTATGTTCAAGATTTTCGTATACATTTTTACGAACAGGTTTTGGAGATCACGTTGATAAATGAGGCATTTGGTTCTTCATGATGAGTTTTCATTATTTAGCTCCCAATCTGCTTTGGGAGACGTGTGGTGGGTTAGGGTCGGCGGTCACAACCGCCTGGAAACAGGTGAACCGCTAAGACAGGATGTTTTTACAAGATTTTCCAGCAAGGTTAAGAACCATTGGAGGAAGGAGATGTGGGAGGCTGGGACATGACGAGTTTCCTCCAGAGAGGAGGTAAGAGGTAAAAGAAGAAATCCAGCAGAGAAACTGTGGAGAACGCAGCAACAATATTAGTTGGGCTTCTAGAGGATCTGTGTTATTATATTGATCAAATAAAATAAAAAGAGACATAATTCCTTTGAAAACTGTGTCCAAATTATGAAGCTCCAAGCCGCCCAAGCCTCATATACACACCATGACTGGCGCCCCGCTTCTCCCCGGTCGCTTCACTCGAGCCCAGAATGTTAGCGGGGGCTGTAAAATAAATTATTCTGAGAAGCTGCTTGCCAAAGCTGCAGCTGGATCATCTAGTTAGTTAAAGGTTAAAAGCCCATTCAATGTTTCAAAGTGTCTTATCGCCTTCTTCTCCGTGGGGCAGGTGAAAGACAAGAGGCGGTCGCCCCCCTCTAACAGATCCCCCTCCGCCCAACAACGCAACCCGCACCACAGCGGCTCTGCAGACGAGCAGGAGAGCCCCGAGAGAGTGGTGAGACACACTCAACCTACATGAAATAAAACACTACTCCACACACACACACACACACACGGGCGGACCTGCATACACATGCATGCATCTGCAGGGATGTTAGTGTGCCCATAAAGGGGTGTAGTGGTGTGTAGGTGGAACACGTAGTAGGAGGCACGCCTGTAAAAACAACCTGGCTAAGTCATAAGAAAACGTGTGTCCCTTTTTAAAATAAAATCATTTATAATTTATTGAAATACGCTGAGAAGTTTTTTGATAATCCGTCAAATGATACACACTCTTTGTCGGATGTGGTTTGTTATTGGATAGCACTACTCCCAAATGGGTTGAACTAATGATTGACACCATTTTGCTGCCAATAGAATATTAACTGCCTGTCTAATCTAGACTGTCAGTCTTTCTTTATTGAGAAAGTGCTTTATGGTGTCTGAGAGTCAAAGTGAGCCATTTTGGATGATGTCTACATGCAAAGCTAAGTTAACCGGCTGCTGCCAGTAGCTGTACGTTTTAATGCCGCTACTTGCTTCCATTTTGGCGGTCCAAGCTCGAGTCACTCTTCAGAAACGCTCCTTTTGTACTGGTGAGGGGTGTGACACCGAGCCCGGTGCAGCTGTCTGCATGACCTGCGTTGGGACTGACATTGTGACCCCGGCAGCCACCAGGCAGACTCATACAAACCGGATCACAGTAGTCCAGGCTCGCTCTGCTGAGGTCATCGTGCAGCACATAAACAAGCTTTCAGTTCCCCGAGCTCAGCACGAATGCCAGTCGCAGCCTTTTCACGGGGCAGCAGGTGACCGCCAGCTGCTGGACGAGGTTGAGCAACAAAAAGCGTCCGAATGTGGCAGATCTGAAAGCAGCTGCACATCCATGGACTAAAAAGTAGCACGTTAGCACAGAAACGGTCAGTGTACCTGAAAGGCAGACATCATAGTTACTCCTGTTGACATATTACACCAACGTTATTGTGGGCACTTCAATCACATTAAACATGTTTAATTTAAAGTGAATGATATTACAAATATCTGTGAATATTTGCCTCACTAGGCATTAAGAGTAACTCACTGTAAATTGACTGTTTAATTGAATTAAGGTGTGCGTTGTGTGCAGGTGCAGAAGGAGAAGCTCCATGCAGAGCTGAAACAAGTGTTGAGTCGGAAGAGAAGTCATCTGAGAGAGTCCACCTGCCAACTGGCCCAGCCGGAGATGGACTCAGAGCCCACAGACCAACAGACAGTAAGCAGCAGTCTGATGAGCCGTTCATACAAAGGAGGAAATAAAGATAACTTCAGTTATTATCAGTGGTTGAGCAGCATTTGAGATGGCGGCGTTAACTTCTGCACTATTATTAAAGGTGATGGAACGGCAACGCACTCAAAGTCACTTCACTTGTTCATACGCTTCAGTTTTTTCCTTTTATGGTTTGAGTTGTTTCCTTCGTTCCGTCAGTGGACAAAGTGGATGTAATCCAAGAACACAGTGACCTTTCCTCCGTGACAGCTCAATGGATCAAAGGGGTTGGAAGTAAAGTCATAAATAACTACAGTAAATGCTGCACTGAACAATAACACGATACCAAACACAAAGGAAGTTGTTTAAAACATCTTTTTATCATTTACCCAAAAAAGACAAAAGCGAAATACAAGAAAGCTTTCAATTTTGTACATGGTGATATTTTTATCTTTTATTTTATTTTTCTACATCAGAAGAATGTTTGAAATTCTTCACAAATATTTAGTGTTCTTTTTGGTTTGGATGAGGCACTTACTTCATCCTGCACATGAAGCCCCATCAATGAAAACTAAACATCTTCTGCTGATGAGAAATGCTGACCGAGTTGTGTCGTCATCCTAGAGTTTGGTTGATAAAACAATAATTGGAATGCACACTGGATTTACTATAATGTTGATCTTGGGTCTGATCTCATGTCTCATGTTTCTCTGTCAGTGTGTAGTGGAAGCCACTCAATCCGTGGAAATTGTGGTGGAGACGGAGGCGGAGGCCGGTGCCAGCGGCTACAGTGTGACAGGTGGAGGACAGCGAGGCATCTTTGTGAAAGACGTCCTCAGAGACTCGCCAGCCGCCAAGCACCTGAGCCTACAGCAAGGTACCTACAGCCACATCCACCTCGCTTAAGTTTCCTTTTTGTTATCTCAAAAGGTCTTTATTTACTATTGTTTATTTAGAGAAACCAGTAGTTTTATTTACTTTACTTACTTCTGTTTTTTGCATTTGGAACTTATTATGCTTACAAATATTTGCCAGACTATGAATGTTACATTTCTATTTCAATAAAAAGAGAATAACTTTTTGACAGATTCATTAAACAAAGACAAAAAAAGACCAGGTGGCCTGTCATAATAATGCTTATACGGTTAAGCAGAATAAGCTGCAGGGCAGATACTCGGTGCTTTAACATGAAAGCACACTGCCAAGAGCTTTGGTGAACTTGTTATCGAGCTCGACTAAAACAGATCATCAATGTTGTATTGTTCGATATTAAGAATTTAATATTTAGGAACAATGGCCTGTGGCCTGTACTTGTATAGCGCTTTTCTAGTCTTCTGACCACTCAAAGCGCTTTAATACTACATGACATCATTCACCCACTGCTGACAGGAGAACCACACACAGTGACACCTGCCATCAGTAACTACCATTCACACACTGTAGTCGCAGCAAAAGGAGCAATGTTGGGTTAAGTGTCTTGCCCAAGGACATATTGACATGCGGGTTAGCAGAGCCTAGGATCAAACCGACAACCCTCTGATTGGAGGACAACCGTGCTCCCCACTCACCCACAGTCGCCCTATGACTAATCATTGTAATAATAATATTATTTGTATGCTTTCATTCACCGTATTGATAAATCCAAATAATTATAATGCAAATTTTAAATGAATGTTTATATTTGTGATTATAATCCCAAACTGGGATGACTAAGAATATCCAAATAATGATTTTGCGATTTAAAGCGATTAGTGACGAGTTAGTGTCAATATCCGCTTCTTTTATTACCAATAAAGTGTTTGATTGTCAAATGTTTTGCTCAATTTTGTTCGATAGTTTTACTTTTGAAAGTAATACCGGAAGAGTTAATGTAACCCTGTTTGATTTGATGCTTTTATACAACGTAGTTCCCCACGCTGACCAACGGGGGGAGTAAAGTCCAAATCATGTGCCCAGAACCCTTTTAACCGGCCACTGGCACGATCGCCAGAGCAAAACGCTTTCATTAAAATACATTTTAAGTAACTTATTGACAATAATAATGATGTTACTGTTGTCATTTGCTATAGTCGCACAATAATGTGTTCTTTAGTATGCAACCTGCCTGTGTGCTATCAACTAATGAAGACAGTGTTGCAGTTCTTCGTTGTGACCACAGAGGGGCAGTGAACAGACGAGGACAGCAATTCAACCATAGATGTTGCTCCTCGGGGACGAGTGAACACACCACATTTAATTGGAAATTACTTAATATCACAACATTAATTCCTAATCAATCTAAAAGAGTAATTTCATATTTTAACTTTTATTTAAAAAGTTAAGCTTTTCCTCATATTTCCTAAGTAGGAGACGCTTGTTTGTTGCGAAAGAAATAAACTTTAATTCTTGTCACTTAACTTAATATTTAATTATAATAATACACAACTTTTGTGAAACATTTTAAAAATGAGCCACAAGGTTTTCCTAAACACAACAAAGAGGTTTGAAATTGATTTTGAAAAGACTATGAGCAGAAGTGTTCACCTCCTTTCTTTAAACCTGCAGACCGTCTGAGGTGAATGTCCATCATTTCCATATGATATGAATGAAGACGCAGCAAGCAAGCCGTGTGCCGCTTCTTAAGATTTTTGGGCAGATATTTTTACTAAAGTAGTTATTAAAGTTATTTTAAAGATCGCTTGTATTCATGCTACCTAAAGGTTTATGTCAGGTTCAAAAGCAGTTTTCTGCTGTCCTCTCTGGTTTGAATTTCTTTGCCTTTCTTTTCCCAGCATGTTAATCCACAAAATAACAAAAGCTATCAAATGCATGTGTTGGGGTTAAAAACTACAATATTTGAATCAAGTTAATAGCACCACTGGTGCTTGCTATGATACATATTAATGAATGCAGTGTTTTTTGGTATCTCACTCAATACTGGATGCAGGGCACTAACGCTCTGCCATTCTATGAGTATAGGGTAGCACGTATTCATCACATTTCTTTTTTTTTATTTAGACACCCAGTTTCCAAATGACAGGTTACAACAACACTGGACATGGGCATTGATAAATCTCTCTGTGTGAAGGGGACCAGCTGCTCAGTGCCAAGGTCTACTTTGACAACGTGAAGTATGAAGATGCTCTGAAAATCCTTCAATGTGCGGAGCCCTATAAGGTCAGCTTCCAGCTGAGGAGGACCGTCCCTGAAGCAGAGGTCGACGTGCGGCCTCGAGTTCCTATTGTGGAGATCAAAGGTCCCAAAGCCAAGATGGCCAAAATGGTGATTAAAAAAAATAATTTTTAGTATCATGTATCATCATCACACATCAATGTTCTCTTTGTCATAATCGCACTTTGGTCAATACCTTATTAAAAGCCAAAGTACTTTTACAGAGTTGTAAACTCAACTTACTGAATTCCAATTGCTTAGACTTAATATAAACATTTAGTCAACGGTTACATTACATTACATGTCATTTAGCTGACGCTTTTATCCAAAGCGACTTACAATAAGTGCATTCAACCATAGGGTACAAACTCATCAAATAAGCCAATTTACAATTTGATATAGATAAGTGGCATTATAAGTACAATTTAAGTGCTACAATTTGTTTGTCTTTTAGTGGAGGTAGAGTCTGAAGAGGTGTGTCTTTAGTTTGCGGCGGAAGATGTGAAGGCTCTCTGCGGTCCTGGTGTCTTCAGAGAGCTCGTTCCACCATTTCGGAGCAAGGACAGCAAAGAGTTGTGATCTAGTCGAGTGTTTTGCTCTCAGTGACGGAGGGAGGAGGAGTTTTGCAGATGCAGAGCGGAGAGTGCGGGTCGGGATGTAGGGTTTGACCATGTCCTGGATGTAAGCTGGACCCGATCCATTCACAGCATGGTACGTGAGCATCAATGTTTTGAACTGGATGCGGGCGGCCACCGGTAGCCAGTGAAGAGAGCGGAGGAGTGGAGTAGTGTGGGAGAATTTCGGAAGGTCAAAGACCAGTCGAGCTGCTGCATTCTGGATGAGCTGCAGAGGTCGAATGGCGGTAGCGGGGAGACCTGCCAGGAGGGAGTTGCAGTAGTCGGGAGATGACAAGAGCCTGAATCAGTACCTGTGCTTCCTTCTGAGTGAGAAGGGGACGTATTCTCCTGATGTTGTAGAGCGTGTATCTACAGGATTGTGTTGTCGCAGTGATGTTAAGAGTTTACAGTTGTTCATTTGATCCAACATCATAAAGCCAGAACAACAGATAGATACTATACCATGATGACTATTCAGGCCTTTGACTGAACCTCTTGTCATTCATGTGGATTTCAGAGTCTGAAGGGCAGCAAGCCGTTCAAGGCCAAGAAGATGAGAGGTGGTCGTTTTGGTCTGAAGAGACTGAAAGAAAAGCACAGAGAGGAGCTGGTGGTAGAGGGAACGCCCCCCAGGCTGGAGATGAGTGACGTGGAGTTTTTTCTGCCCAAATTCAAACAGAGGAAGAACGCAAAGATTGAAGCGGAAGAAGCAGTAGCAGCAGGAACAGCAGCCGACATGGGGAAGGCAAAGAGGAGGATCAGGTTGGCCTTGTTTGAATCCTTTTTGTGTTTGCTTTTCACGTAACAATATTCACAGTTATTATTATGCAACGTGTGATGGTTATCGAAACATTAAAACTGTAAAGAATACTGTAATACAATACTATTACTTCCTGATTTTTAAAGACATTATCGGAAAAGCTTTTCGTCTTTTACAAAGAATTCTTTTGAATTTTGGAATAATTTATATATTTTTTGTGTGCCTTGTTTAAATGCTCCTATCAGGTTTCCCCATATGAAAACAAAGGGATCCAAAGGAGAAGACATAGGGGGAAGAGTGGACACAGGGCGACTCGAGGGGGGAGTGAATATCTCTCCACCTGAGACAACTGGAGCTAAATTGAAAACCAAAGGAAAAGGACACAGGTTTGGAATCACGTTTCCAAAGAACAAACACACAAAGCAAGGCTCGGGGTTGGAGAGTGTGGAGCTGAACCCTCCAGGTTTGAACACCCAGCTACCATCAGTGGAGTTCAGTCTGTCTGGTGATAAAAACACGGACATAGAGAAGAGGGGCGTTCAGATTAATGCACTTGATGTGGAGTTTGCACTCCCTTCAGGAATATCTGATCCCTCTGTGAAGGGAAAGGCAGAAATCAAAGCTCCTAAAATCAACATCAGTGGGAGAGATGATACAGCTATTGGAATAATGGATGTAGACGCAGGCAAAGGAGATGCAAAGTTAAGAATGTCAAAGTTGAAACTGCCCAAAGTTAGACTGTCACGTCATTCGGATGAGATAGATGGTGACATCAAGGTAAAAACCAAAGGAATGAAACCTCACGCTGACATAACGCCTCCAAAAGTAGCAGTTTGTGGGGAGATTGATCTCCCTGAGGCAAATATCCCCACTCTTAATCCCTCAGTAAAAGCTGCATCTATTCAAATACCTTGCGTTGATATTTCTTTACCAAAAGTGACGAGAAAATCTGACGTGGATGTCTCACTTCCAAAGTTTGAAGGACCTGTGAAAACAGCAATCAAAACACCTGTTGTGGACATCTCTGTGCCAGATGTTAGTTTAGAAATGGACACCAGACGCCGAATCCCTGATGAGGTGGAGGGCACTTTTAAAGGGCCCAAAATCTCCCTGCCAAAGGTGGATATCTCAATGCCCCACATCGGATCATCCAAAGTCGATATTGAAGGTCCAGAAGGGGGAGGGAAATTCAACCTGCCTTTCGTAGACATCTCTCTCCCAAAGATGAAACCAGAAGGTGGAGATGTAGATATGGATTATTATGTTGGTGGAGATGGGAAGTTCAAATTGCCCGAGTTTGACATATCTATTCCGAAGGTTCAATCACCAGAACTTGAAGTTAATATGAAAAAAGAAGGCTTCAAGTTACCCAAAGTAGACCTCACGCTTCCCAAAGGCAAAGCTGAAACACCTGAATTTGAAGGAGAAAAGTTTCAGTCGCCATTATTTGACATTTCCCTCCATAAAAAGAAGGCAGGAGAGATGGAGGCTGACATCAAAGGCCCTGAAGTAAAAGGTGGTAAATTGGAAATTCCCACGCTTCAGATGCCTTCTCTTGATGTATCACTGCCCAAAGGAAACTTGGAGGGTGACATTGAAATGGATGGTTCATCTGTGGGGAAAGGGAAATTCAAAATGCCCTCACTCAACATCAAACTCCCTCAGATGGGGACATCTGGGGCTACAGTTGACTTACAAAGACAAGAGCTTCAAGGAGGGAAGATTGAGGTGCCATCAGTAGACATTTCTCTACCAAGATTTAAATCTAAAGGTGAGGCTGACATTGAGGGACAGGGTGGCACATTTAAAATGCCTTCATATGATATATCTCTTCCAAAAATGAAGTTGCCCGAGGGAGAGGTTGTTTTGGAGGCACCTGAAATCAAAGGGGGAACGATCAAGATGCCCAATGTTGATATCTCTGTTCCCCGAGGAAACGCCAAGGCCGATTTGAACATTGATGGCAGTAAATTAAAAGGAAATACATTTAAAATGCCTTCTTTAGACATTTCTCTCCCAAAAATGAAACTACCTAAAGGAGATGTGAAGCTAGAACACCCGGAACTTCCAAATGTTGACGTTCCACGCCCCAAGGCAAACATAGAGGGCAACTTAGAGCTGGAGAGCAGTGTTGGTAGCGGTGCCAGGTTCAAGATGCCAACTTCTGACATCTCACTCCCAAAGTTTAAAACCAATCAGGGAGAGATGGACATCGAAAGAACTGACGTCAAAAGTGGAGGAAAGTTCAACATACCATCAGTTGACTTGTCTCTTCCTGCTATTAAATCACCACAGGGTGAGATCAAGATTAAAGGTCTTGGAGCTAAAGAGGGACAGTTACAGATGCCTTCTTGCGATGTGTCGCAACCAAAAATCAAATCAATGGGCGATAACATCAATGTTAAAGCTGAACTGCCAACCATTGAGATCTCTCTTCCTAAAGGAAAAGCTGAGGGTAAGATTGACATTGAGGGACCCACAGGAAAAGGAGGGAAGTTTAAGATGCCTACATTTGATGTATCGCTTCCAAAGATGAAGATGCCTGAAGGAAATATTGGCCTTGAGGGACCCTCAATAGATATTTCTCTTCCAAAGGGGAAAGTAGAGGTTGACTTAGAAACCACGGGTAGAGGGGGTCCTTTTCATATGCCCTCAATTGATCTCTCTCTCCCTAAAATGAAATCAATGCGAGATGACATCAACATTGAGGGACCTGAAATCAAAGGTGCGGAAATTAAGATGCCGACTATTGACGTGTCAGCTCCTCAAGTGACATTAGAGGGTGAAGGAAAAGGAGGCATATTTAACCTGCCGTCTGTAGACACTGCGCTCCCTGACATAAAATTCCCCGAAATGCCAAAAATAGACCTCTCACTTCCCAAAGGAAAAGCACAGGGAAACATTGATATTGACATTCACTCAGGAAAAGATGGGAATATTGAAATACCCTCATTTGATATTGGACTTCCTAAAGGAAAAGGAAAAGTTCCTGAATTTAAAGGAGGAAAAATCCACATGCCAGACATTGATCTGTCACTCCCTAAAGGAAAAGCTGACCTTAGTGTTGAGGGTCCTGAGGTAAAGGGTGGCCAATTGGGTAAGGGGGGCAAGTTTCACATGCCCTCAGTTGACATATCTCTTCCTAAAATCAAAGTCACAGGATTTAATGTTAATGTTCAACAACCTGAAGTCAAAGGAGACATTTCACTCCCTAAAAACAAGTCTCCAGAAAGAGAAATCAGCCTTCATGGTCCTGATGTTAAAGGAGGGAAGTTATATGTTTCACCTGTTGAGATTTCCCTCCCCAAAGGAGAAGTTGAGGGTGACCATAATGTTAAGTGTCCTGACTTGAAGGGGGGTGCATTTAAAATACCTAAATTAGATGTGGCTTTGCCAGGAGGTCATGTGAAAATCAAAGGGGCTGACCTCAAAGGAGGGCAATTCAACACGCCAGAAATTGACCTGTCACTTCTTAAAGAAAAGGCTAACACTGACCTCAGTATTGAAGGTCCAGAAATAAAAGGAGGAAAATTCAACATGCCCAAATTTGACATTTCACTTCCAAAGATGAACCTGCCAGAGGGCAATGTTGAAATGCCAACTGTTGATATTTCACTCCCAAAAGGAAAAGTAAAGGGAGACGTTGACTTTGAGGGACATGTGGGTAAAGGAGACAAGTTTCAAATGCCCTTGGTTGATATCTCTCTTCCTAAAATAAAAGCCAATGGAGTTGACGTTGATGTTGAAGGACCTGAACTTAAAGGTGAAGCATCATTCCCTGAAGGAAACGTTGTGGGTTACCTCGATATTGAGGGGCTTGAGTTAAAGGGGGGGGAATATAAAATGCCAAAAGTTGGAGTCTCATTGCCTGAAATGAGTCTCAAGGATGTCAAACTTAAAAGCCCAGACATTAAGAAAGGGAAGATTGAGATGCCAGACATTGATATTTCACTCCCCAAGGGAAAACAATTAGGAAAAATAGACATTGAAGGACAAACTGGAAAAGGAAGCAAGTTCCATATGCCCTCTGTTGATATATTGTTTCCTAAAATGAAAGCTAAGAGTCTTGACATAAATATTGAAGGCGCTGGTGTTAAAGGTGGAAAACTCAACAAGCCAACACTTGTTTCTCTTCCCAAAATGAAATCTCCCAATGTAGGCATCAGCCTTGAAGGTCCTGATTTCAAAGGCGGAAAGGTCAATATCCCAACTGTTGACATTTCACTTCCCAAAGCAAAAGTTGAGAAAGAAATAAATGTGGATGACCCTGAGGTGAAAGGAGGGAAATTCAAAATGCCAAAATTTGATATCTCTTTATCGAAAATGAGTCTCCCAAACGTTGATGCTAATTTCGAAGGACCCGATATGAAAGGAAAAATTGAAAAGCCAACTATTGAAATGTCACTTCCAAAAGGTCCTGATGTTAAAGGCGGAGCGTTTAACTTGCCAACCTTCGATATTTCACTCACCAAAGGAAAGGTTGAAGGTGACCTGGATGTTGAGTGTCCCGCGTTGAAAGGGGGTCAATTTAAAATGCCCCAAATTGATGTGTCTTTACCAAATGTGAGTCTTCCAGAAGATGATGTCACAGCAAAATGCCTAGATATCAAAGGAGGAAAGATCTACAAACCAGACATTGACCTGTCACCCCCAGAAGGAAAGGCTAACCTCAATATTGAGGGTCCTCAAGTAAAAGGAGGAAAATTCAACATGCCTAAATTCAACGTTTCACTTCCAAAGATGAATCTGCCTGAGGGCAATGTGGAAATAACAACAGTTGATATTTCAGTCCCAAAAGGAAAAGTAAAGGAAAATATTGACATTGAAGGCCATGCTGGAAAGGGAGGAAAGTTCCATATGCCCTCTGTTGATATCTCTTTTCCAAAAATAAAAGCAAAAAGACTTGATGTCAACATTGAAGAATATGAACCGAAGGGAGGAAAAATCAACATGCCAGACATTGATCTGTCACTCTCCAAAGAGGTAAAAGGAGGTGAATACAAAATGCCAAAGTTTGACAATTCACCAAAGATAAACCTGCCAGAAGGCAATGTCAAAGTGGAGGGGCCACAGATGAAGGGAGGAGAGATTGCATTGCCAAATCTTGACATTTCAATTCCAGTGGGAACAGTGGAGGATCATGTCAACATTGAAGGACCTGCTGGAAAGGGAAAGTTTGAAATGCCAAAAGTGGACCTGTCTGGTAAAAAAGGTGGTGGGCTCCAAATGCCAAGTCTTGACATTAATCTCCCCAAATTCAATATTGACCTTAGCCTTCCTTCTGGGCTGAAAGACAAAAGTCTTAAAGTGGACACAAGTGGTCCGGAAGCATCAGAAGGTGCAGGCATTGAAACAGGTGATGCCAATGGGGCAAATGCCTCCCTCAAACTTCCTACTGTCAACCTCAAACTACCGACAGTGGACATCTCAGCTCCAAAAGTGGATCTAGAATTTGGTCTGAAAAAATCTAAGGCTGACGATGTGGAAGTGGAACTTCTTAAAGCAGAGGGAGGCAGGCCTTCTTCTGGGGTCAGTTTTGATATACCTGATGTCTCCCTTAAAGTCCCCAGTTTCTCTCTTCCCAGGTTCGGTGGAAAGTCCAAAAGTGGAGATTTGAAAATATCTGGCCCTAAGGGAGATGTTTCCCTCAACCAGCCACATGTGGAAGGAGATATGAGGGCACCATCAGTAGAGTTTGATGGGAACGGAAAAGTAAAAGTGAAAAAGACAAAAATCAAAATGCCTTCATTTGGTGTATATAAAAAGCATGCAGATATATCTGCGTCTTGTTCTGATGTGGATGCTGAAGTGAAAAAGGGTGAATTTGGCATTTCTAAACCTGAAATCAGTGTTGAGTGCGCAGACAAAAAATCTAAATACAAAGTGAAATTCCCCAAGTTTAAAATATCACCAGCAAAAGATCAACACATGGAGGGACAGGTTGATTCTAAACTGGAGTCAGAAGTTGAAGGGAAGGGTGGCTTTCATGCCCCAGATGTCTCCATGAAACTACCGAAGTTCTCCATGCCAGGGTTGGGCTCTAAAGAAAGACATTTTGGAAAGCCAAGTGGTTACCTTGAGTCTAAGACCGAGTTTAAGATACCCTCTATTGAGCTGGCCCTGCCAGCAGGCAGAAAACAAGAGACGGAGGTTCTTCTCCCTAAAGCAGAGGTTGATGTCTCAGAGGCTGATATCACTAGTTATGAGGGAAACTTAAAAATTCCCAAAATGCCATCTATTGACATTTCCATTCCCAAAATCGATCTGGATGTGTCCTTGCCAAGGGTAAAGCATGAGACAAAGGCTGATGGAGTAGGAGGCACTTTCAAGATGCCAGATATCAAGATGCCAGATATTGACTTGTCCCTTCCTAAAGGAAAAACAGTAAACGTTGAAGGTCACATATCACTGCCCAAAGGAGATTTCAAAGGTCCAGGTGTGGGAGATACAGAGAAACTATTGGAAATGCCTCACATGAAAATGCCAGGTGTTGACATCTCTCTGCCAAGAGGAAACACTGAGGGCAGAGAGATAGAAGTCAAAGGAGAAGGTGGAAAATTCAAGATGCCAAATCTTAACATGCCCTCTGTTAACATTTCACTTCCCAAAGGAAAGATTGGAGGACAGGATGTTGAAATTGAAGGAGGTACTAGCGGTAAATTCAAAATGCCTCATACGAAAATTCCCAACGTTGAAATTTCTCTGCCCAAAGGAAAGATTGAAGGTCCAGAGATGGATATTGAAGGAGGTGGAAATTTCAGAATGCCACATCTAAACATGCCCTCTGTTGATATTTCCCCTCCCAAAGGAAAGATCGAAGTTCCAGATGTGGAAGTGGAGGGAGGTACCGGAGGAAAATTCAAAATGCCTCACATGAAAATGCCCAATATTGACATATCGCTCCCCGAAGGAAAGATCGACAGTCCGAAGGTTGAAATGGAGGGAGGTACCGGAGCTAAATTAAAAATGCCTCACATGAAAATCCCCAACGTCGATATTTCTCTGCCCAAAGGGAAGATTGAAACCCCAAATGTTGAAATGGAGGGAGGTGCCGGAGCTAAATTGAAAATGCCTCACATGAAAATGCCCAACATCGATATTTCACTTCCTAAAGGAAAGATTGAAGGTCCCAGTGTAGAAATAGAGGGAGGTACCGGAGGGAAATTTAAAATGCCTCATATGAAAATGCCCAACATCGATATTTCTCTGCCCAAAGGGAAGATTGAAGGTCCAGATGTAGAAATGGAGGGAGGTACCGAAGGGAAATTTAAAATGCCTCACATGAAAATGCCCAACATCAATATTTCTCTGCCCAAAGGAAAGATGGAAGGTCCAGATGTAGAAATGGGCAGGGGTACTGGAGGGAAATTTAAAATGCCTCATATGAAATTGCCATCTGTTGATATCTCTCTCCCCAAAGGAAAGATTGAAGGCCCAGATGTTGAAATGGAGGGAGGTACCACAAGAAAATTCAAAATGCCAGATGTTGACATGGAGCTACCAAAAGGAAATATTGAGGGTCCAGGAATAGAGATCAAAGGAGGAGGTGGAAAATTCAAGATGCCACATGTCAACATGCCTTCTGTTGATATTTCACTTCCTAAAGGGAAGATTGAAGGTCCCAGTGTAGAAATGGAGGGAGGTACCGGAGGGAAATTTAAAATGCCTCATATGAAAATGCCCAACATCGATATTTCTCTGCCCAAAGGGAAGATTGAAGGTCCAGATGTAGAAATGGAGGGAGGTACCGGAGGGAAACTTAAAATGCCTGATATGAAAATGCCCAACATCGATATTTCTCTGCCCAAAGGGAAGATTGAAGGTCCAGATGTAGAAATGGAGGGAGGTACCAAAGGGAAATTGAAAATGCCTCACATGAAAATGCCCAACATCAATATTTCTCTGCCCAAAGGAAAGAGTGAAGGTCCAGATGTAGAAATGGAGGGAGGTACCGGAGGGAAATTTAAAATGCCTCATATGAAAATGCCCAACATCGATATTTCTCTGCCCAAAGGGAAGATTGAAGGTCCAGATGTAGAAATGGAGGGAGGTACCGAAGGGAAATTTAAAATGCCTCACATGAAAATGCCCACCATCGATATTTCTCTGCCCAAAGGAAAGATTGAAGGTCCAGATGTAGAAATGGAGGGAGGTACCGGAGGGAAATTTAAAATGCCTCATATGAAAATGCCCAACATCGATATTTCTCTGCCCAAAGGGAAGATTGAAGGTCCAGATGTAGAAATGGAGGGAGGTACCGGAGGGAAATTTAAAATGCCTCACATAAAAATGCCATCTGTTGCATATCTCTCTCCCCAAAGG